GTGCGTTCTGAATGGCAGTCGCTGTACTTGAAACACCACTTTTTGAGGGCATCCATGTAAGTGGCGGCTGGCCTCCGATCAGGCCACAGAACACGACTTGTCCAGGAATGTCACCATTGCCTGTGCCCTTTCTGTCTACTGTTGCTGTTCTAATGCCCAGTAGGCCAGCATGGCTGGCTTCTGAGGTGGGGAACCCAGCCCCACGCTGCTTGGATCTCTGAAGTCAGTCAAGCTGTCATCAGGCCCTGGGCAGCCTCCTCCAATGCTGCAGCAGAGGGCAGGTAAGGTCGTGCCTGCTGGTCCAACCAGAACCCTGTTCTTCTCACCCATGGGCACCAGAGGCATGCTCTCCAGCCTCTTCAGGGGTGTGGGGCGCCCTCAGGTAGGGGGAATGGAGCTGCAAGCAGTAACAACAGCTTTTGTTGACAGACACAGGCATCACCACGGCTGGGAGGCCTAAGGTGGAGCTGGAGCAGCTGGCCAAGGTCAAGGGTACCTGCTGCTGAGGCAGAAACACCACCTGTTCCAAGCCCACCACTAGGCCCAGATACACACACACAGGGCTGAGCTTTCACGATGTGGGCCTTCACCCAGCCCACAGGTGAGGCCAGCAGAGCTCTCCTAGTCAGGTCTTCAAGGGAAGCTAGGAGGCAGGGGCAGCTTTTCCACCGGGGCGGCTGAGGCTCTTGCAGCCATTCTGGCTCTGACTGGCAGTAGCAGCACTTGGCTGGAGGAGCGGCTCTCCCTAGGGGTATTTGAGTACTTGGCAATACTAAGAGGTCTCTCGGCAAGCAGGTAGCATTTGGATGCTACCTGCCGCCTTCCTATGGACGCCTCTGCCAGGATTCTTGCACACCGGGCAGCAGCGAGCCCAGGGTGGAGGCTCCAGGGCAACGGAGGAGGCACAGTCCCCCCCCAACCCCCAAGAAGCGCTGGTGTCGCTGGAGCCAGCACGCTCTCCACCCTAATCTTCTGACCTTAAAAACAAAAGGGAGCTTGAATTTGTGAACTTCAGAAGCCCATGTGACTAGCAAGGGCAGAGAATGAAAATAAGAGACTTTCTGTCAACTCATTCTGGAATAAAGGATCCCGTCATTCCCCAAAGGGGAAGAAGCCCTGGGGACTCCTGTTCCAGAGAGAACAGGGGCGCTGGCATCACACGTGTGCATGGAACGTGTGTGACAGAGAGAGTGCCCTGTCTGCAGGTCAAGCACGCCATGCCTGGCTGCCTGTCTCATCCTGCCGCCAGCTCCCGCTCAGGAAAGGGCCCTCGACAGTCTCTGGGTAAGGTGGGGTGCCGGTCCACCTGTGCCTCTCCACCCAGAGCTCAAGCCCTCTGTTGAGCGCCAAGAGCCCAGGAGCTTCAGGGTGGCTGTGGTCTCTGCTCTGAGCTGGGAGTGAGGTGGGGTGGGGGCAGCCGGCCTGCAGAGCCACTCCCCCTCCACCACTGAAGACTCGACCAGGCGGCCCTGTTGCCAGAGCACCCCCAAGCCCTGTCCTGGGCCCCATTCTCATGGCCACAGACAGCTCACTCGAGCTCCAGAGAGGCCCCATTCGTCCCCCGCAGCTCCAACAGGAATCAAACCACAGCTCCTCCATTCAGCACTCTCCACGGGGGTGACTTTACCGTGGTGCGCAGTCTCCTTGCTTACCATCTTGGAACTCTCTGAAGTGGGCAAAATTTTGAGACACTGCATTTTCTAGGGAAAGACCCACTTAGGCTTCTGTTTCTCAAAGGGATCTGTTACCCCAGAAGACCCACTGACTCAGGCAGCTGTCGGTGCAAGGTCTCAGTGGAGACTTGGGGACTGAAGTGACTCTTTGCTGGCTGGGTCTTACTGGATCAAAAACAGCCTTCTAGGGGCCCTAACTACGGCCCCATGGCTGGCGAAGGTGGTGTGGGGGAGTGGCACGGGGGCTACAGCAGGGTCTTACAGTTCAGACTCATTTCCGAGCGGGCCTAGAGGAGCACCAGAAATGCTTCTTCAGCAGAGTGCCCAGCATAAACACCCTCTGGCTAGAGGTAAAGGTCAAAAGCAGACACAGTAAGAGTGCGACGCCAGCTTCGCAGCTTTGAGAGGGAACACGACTGGAAAGGAGTTGTAGGTATTCTGGTATTTTCCTCGGAGTGTGTACTGTGAGGTAAAAGCACACATGGTCCCAAACCCAATTCTGGATTGTCACCTAGAGTTGCTAACAATGAGCCAACACAAGGAAAAAGGCAAACAGGAGGTTCACTAAGTCCCCAGATGTGGTCACAGCCCAGATGTGTGGTCTGTATGAACTCGCCGCCCTCACATGTTCTGTGCTATACACCAGGTTTTGTCAGTTAGGATGTGGTGGCACAAGGCTTCTAGACATTAAGAAGTGTGAACCATTAGAGACCTCCTGTGTAGAAAACAATACCTTTATTTTGCTGAGCTTCATCTGGATTTTCTTAGACACCAGATCAGACCAGTACTTCTCTCCTAAGAAGTCCCAAAACATCCTTCCAAGCAAGGCATTCACCCAGGCTTCCTGCTCTTCCTCCTCAGAGGGTGGGGCCTCTGGCAACTGGCAAAAGAAAAGGGACCAAAATTAGAAAGCAACTTGAGAACAAGACAGGTGCTTATTTTCATAAAGTCACTGCAGGTCCCTCCCTACCACGTGAGTCACACTTCTTCCCCATAAATTACAGGTCCCACTGTCAGTGACTAGAAAGAGGGAGAGACAAAAGCCACCACCACAGATAAAAATGCCTTTGTCTATTCTCTTTTCCTGCCAGTGTGCCCATGAACCAGCTAATATTCCATACAATCTGCTCAGCTGAAGTACCCTCCCCCTCAAACCAGCTTGGCCGACCCGAGCCAGAGGCGTTATCCAATGGAAAGTTCACCTTCCCTCCCGCTGATGTGGACTCGCCCAGCTGGTCCTCACCAGACAGCCCAGGCTTCCCAAGCTCAGGACTCATCAAAGTTCCATCTGATTCTTGGGAGGTCATGATTCTCTTGGGCGAGGAGCAGGGTAGTGCTTAAAAATACTGGTGCCTGGGTCCTACTAGTTTAAGTGGGTTACTGGGACTTTTGCATAGGCCCTTTGCTGATTGAGCAACAGGTGAGGCTAAGAACCATGAACTAGCTGGGCCACCCTTAAGGGCTCTGAAATTCCTATAGCTGTCTCCCCACTCCCAGCCCAGGGCGAGACACTGGGCCTCACCTCCACCTGATAGAATCAACCTGAATCAGCTGTCACGGCCAATGTGCAAGGTGAGAGAAGGGCCACCCGACAGCCCCCAACTTCCAAGCTGGTCTGGGGAGGGCCAGGGCTGGGAGAAGGCAGAAGCAGAGGCAACAAGGCTGCGGTGTGGCACCTAAGTGGTCAGATCACAGCTCATGCTGATAGCTGTGATGGGGGCGGGCACCCCACCGCTACTGCTGCCCATTGAGACCCCTCACTATGTCCCCCGAAGGACACCCCGACAGGACAGAGCCTTGATTTCTGCGTCAGGGACGAGAACAGGCTCGGAAGTGCTCAGTGCCCGCGCTGGGCCCCGGCACACAGCCTGACTCAGAGCGGCCCTCCCTGGAACTCCTCCTGCTGTGTTCTGTGGGAGGGTGGCGGGGGTGTGACCGGCCCTGACGGCACAGACAATTCCCGAAGCTGATGTCTTTAATCAGACATGACCTTATAGAAACAGCCGGCCTGGGAAAGCAAGACCAAAACAACTAGAAATGCAGAAATCTGCGTTGTCCGCCTTTCCCTTCCCTCCATGGCCTACAACACGCATGCATCCTCCTCACAGGACAGCTGCAGTCACCCCTTAGACACCTCATGGTCTGCAAGGCCCACAGAGTCGTGTGTGGACACTGTGATTGTGCCCCTGCCGGTCTGACAGCCTGGGAGTACCCCAAAAGGCTGTGGCCTGTCACTAGGTGATGCCCAGAGTCCCAAGGGGCTATAAAGCTTATCAGCACTGAGCTCGTGTGGGGTTCAGCGGACTGCCCAGTACCCACCTGCCATGAGCTTTGTCTGAATTTGCATCTTCTCTCTCTTTGGGCACCTACGAGTTTATATGCCTTTTCTAATGTCATGCTAATACCTATGAGGGGGGGATATTTTGTGTTTTCCAAGTTCTCCCTTATGAATGTTGGCGAGTCTCACTTAAAAATGATTCAACTCTGGCTGAAACAATAATGTGTTGGCCACTCCCTTTAGGGGACAGGGCTCCACCTCACCCCCATTAATGGCTCTGTGAGTGCCGTAGTGTCTGCTGCTATTAACCGGGGCAATTCTACCTCCATGCCTTAGACAGAAGAGCGGAAGCCTGGGGTCAGCCAGTACTCAATCACGCCACAGTGTATATGTTTTTTCCAGAACCACTTTTCTCTCTACAGGGACATCTGCCCGCCACCGCCTAGGGGGTCTGGTCCAGCTTTTCTAGGGTTTGTCTTTGAGTCATAGAGATCATCTACACGGGCCTCTCAGCAAACAGGCAAGGAAAAGTGTCCCCACCCTACCCCCACATGGGGGTGAGGCCAGTCTGCTGCCCAGTGTCCACTACCATCATTAACCTTCCTTTATGACCCCCATTACTCACATGAAACAGGCTGAGCACAAACTGGAAGAAACAAAGACTATTTTACAATTTATGGCCAAGCCAAAGGCATATAATGTGGAAACAAATTTTTGAAATAAGTGACAAGCAGGTTTTCTCCTCCCCAACAGTTCATTTTTCTGATGCAAGCTTCTCTCCACAGACTCACTGAGAACAAAGGAAAATCCGAAAGCAGCAGAACACTGACAATGCACAAAGCAGCTTTGTGATTAAAATCTAGATTTAACAGGTGGCCAGAAAGAACTCACTTCCAATGAATGTCATAAAAATTTAAGAGCTTAAGAAATAAAAGTCATACATTTCCTAACAACCCTGGCTGCAGATGAAATGTGAGAACAACACTCACTTCACACATACATTTAGAAAGGGTAACTTTCTAAAGGTGGTTTCCAGGAGAAAAGGCTCACGGAGCTCAATGGTCTGAAGCTGAGGCAAGGCTATCACAGGGGATATATCATATTGAAAAGTAACCTCCACAGTAAAGGAATGCAGACTGACAGAATCTGTGGTGTAGTCTTTACTCATACACCACCAGGCGGCCAGCACACGGCTTGCTCTCACAGACTGGGTTTCAGAAAGGCCACCTGGCCAGTAGGAAAGCCCCAGGCCTGGGAGTCTGCTTCTTGGTTATAAAAGCCTTGCACAGTCACGTTAGGAAACACCACGATCCATGGCCAAGATAAGCGCTCACGGTGTTCGTCCTATCTTTTCTTTCTCTTTTTGCAGTTATATGATAAGAACATAGAACTTCTGGAAGAAAAAAAAGTGCCAAATTTTGACACCTGAAATTTTTAAGATTCTGCATACTTAAAAAAAAAATCTTTCACATAAAATTTACATGTCTTACAGTTTACCCACTCAAAGACTATAAGCCAGGGGAGTTTAGTGGAGTCACAGTTGTGACATCATTACCACAGTCAGTTTTAGAATACTATCATTACCCCCCAAAAATCCCTGTGCCCATCAATGGTCTCTGCCATTGCTTCTCAGTGCCATCTCCACCACCGTCATCACCGGCCGACTAATTTGTCCTTACAAACTTGCCTATTCTGGACATTTCACAGCTATGGAATCAAATAATGTGTGTTATTTTGTAACAGTAATGTGTGTTATTTCTTTCACTTAACGTAATGTTTCCAAGGTTTATCCACATTGTAAAATGCATTTGTATATAACGTTCCTGTTTATTGCAAAATAATATAGTACCATATGCATCTACCACACCTCCCCCATTTAGCAGACCATGGACATTTCTGTTGTTTCTGACAATGGCTGCTGCCTGAATACCTGGGCATGAGTTTCTATGTGGACATGGTTTTCTTCTTTCTTGATATGTACCTGGGAGTGGAACTGCTGAGTCATACAACTGTGGTCAGCACTATGTTAGCATGTTTAACACACAGGGCTGGCCGTCTCGCTGCCCACGGCCCTGAACAGCCAGTCCGTGTGGTCTCCCTTCCTGAGAGACTCAAACTCTCTAAGCTTTCGACAGTTTTTGAATTTATTTTCTCACTTTTTGAATGACTATTTCAGTCTCCGGAAATGAGCAGACCACCTGACAAGATGGTAAAGGCCCAGGTCTTCTCAGTTAGCCCCATGGTCTCGCTCATTATTCTAGAGGTCAAGCTGCCTGGAAAGAGAGAATGGCATCAGGGTCATGGGGCATGGAGACGTCGGAGACTGGCACGGCCGGGCTGTGGGACAAGCGGAGCCGTGGGGGCCTGTCCAGACTGAGTGGCTGGGCGCTGGCCACTGGACAGCTAGGGAGCCAGACACTTTCTCCAAAAACAGTGGGACTTTGTCATTCAAACTGTAAGCTCCAAAATGGTTCGAAAATGCAGAATCCCCTGAAGGCTTTTCATTATTATGGGGAAAAAAAGAATCACCAAATGTGTTCCAGTGTTATTTAATACAAATTTAGTCTACAGTTATTATGACGTCCCTGGGGGGATTAATATTGGTTTGGCTCCTGGGCACTCGTGACCTACCCAGCGTTCCCATTCACCCCTTGACCTAGGTCAGCACTGGGCAGCGCAGAAGCTGCCCTTAGGCCCTGGAGTCTTCAGGATAAGAGATGCTTTGACCATGGCCTACAAGATACAGCAGTAGGCTGGAGGTATGGAGGGGAGAGATGTGGTAAGTCGTGGACGAAGAGGGGTTACCCTGGGCAGCATGTGGGTGACATGATGATGGGTCTGAAGCTATGTCAGGGGTTCCCTGGGAGCTGCTCTTAGAGTCATGAGAGCAGAGGTTACGAAATCTGAGAAATAACCCTGCCCGACTAAGACCCACATACGGCGAGGCTGGGGGAACAGGCATCAGATTCTGGAGGGAACAAACACCGATGCTCAGCTGTGTCCAATCTGTGAGCAGTTAAGTGACTGTTACTGTTTGAGGCCAGCGCTCTGCAGGGTGCTTGTTATCTGGTAAGAGACAACTGAAAGATACACCTGTAGCTTCTTCAAGATCATGTCCACTACCAGACTGGTCCAGGAGCCAGGGTACAGGCCACGTGGGCTTCAGGCAGGTCAGGCGGATGTGGGTGGCGGGTGCCAAGGCTCATGTGGTTTCCTCAAAGGTCCCACTTTCGGAGACACCTCTCTCTGCTCACACAAGTCTGGCACTGACTTCCCAGCCCACACAGAGCAGAGTCACTAAGTTAACAAGGGCAGCTGGGAGATGGGGCGCTCAAGGAAAGGCCAACTGGAGGGACCCAGCCCCCCACCAGCCACAGGGAACTGAGGGAAAACCTGCGGTCTGCAGTGTGGGGTGGCCCAGACACAGGGCGCAAGGCTGAGACCTTGGGGGCCCAGCCTGAAGGCTGGTTGAGGGTTCTTGTATCTTTAATGATCAAGAAAATATTAAATCATGCTGCCTGCTCTGCTGAAGGGCTCAGAAGTGCGATGTGGTTTTTAAAGGTTTTCTTCAGAATGAAGAGAGGAAAAATTGTCTCAGTTCTTAAAAGGAACAGTTGCCAAGTCCCTGGAAAGGAGGTTTATGACAGTCACACTGGGTGACAGACCCCTGACGCACACATGGCAAACTCGGGGAACACACACTGGAAACAATGTTCTCAAACATGCTTGCCTTTTAAGGACGAGGAACTCTTTAAAAAGTAAGACTTTTTACACATGGGTGACTCGGTGATGGAAAACCCACGGGGATTACAATTGAGATGAAAAAAAAAGTACACAATGATGTAAAAATAAAACTATTATATTTATTTAAAAAAAAAAGTAAGCCTTTTTTAATTGGACAATTCTGGCTATATCAGTACCCAGTTCTCCTCATTTCCCCAAGTCTCCTGAGAATATAGACAGCTGACAATCCAAGAGCAAGGGACTCTGGGGTCAGGGGACGCTCTGGTGCTAAGCAGGACATCAGTAGAACAATTTATCTCATACTATAGCCGCTGCCTAGAGAGAGGCCTGCTTCCCACTCAAGCCTGGTAACTTGGTGAGAGGAGGCAGAGGGTCAGAGGCCAGCAACGTCACAGAACACCGGCTGGGGAGCGTTCAGGAGCCCCCTCTACACTGACTAGGATCAAAGGAATGACTGGGCTGACGACCGACCGCTTCCTGCTAAGAACAGAAACAGTCCTCTAAGAGGTCAGGACACCTTAGGAACTGAACACAGAAAACCTGGCTTCGCACTCCCTCAACACACCTCAAAGGCAGCCACTTCTCACCACCTGATGTGCCTTATCTCACCCCATCCTCCACTGCCAAGTCACCTCCCACCCCTCTCCCAGCCAGCTCTCTCCTCCACCCAGAGCCAGGGATCCATCGCTTCCAATCAGACCAACCTAATCCCTGCTCAGAACTCTCCCCGGGCTCCCCAGCCCCATGCACCAGTCCCATGAGGCCCACTGGCCTCCCTCTGGCCTGCCTGCCTGTCTACCCACGCACTGACCGCTTCCCTGCTGTGGGCCTCTGCCCTCACTGGCCCCCGAGCCCCACCCCCAGGCCCCCAAAGTCTGCTCCTCTCACACACAGTGCCACAGCTCATTTTCTCACACTCTGCCCCCCTCAAACGGTCACCTCCTCAAAATGGACCCGCTGGCCACCAATCTAAAGTGGCAGTTTTGAACACTTCCCATCTTCCCTTGCTGGCTTTACTCTCACCGCCACCTGACATCTGTTTTCTCTGTCTCCCTGGGCAGAATGCGGACTTCCCGAGGGCTGGGCTGTCGCCTGTCTTGCTCACATCTGTGTCACCAGGACATGCCTGGGCATGAGACACACTGCGAGCGTCAGTCGGAAGGAATGTGTTTAAGTGGCACAACAGAGACGCCTCGGTCCCGCAGTCACTTTACCTTTTTCCCAGCTGTGGGGCTGCTTTCCACACTCTGCATGGGGCTCCTCTGAGGGCTCTGGCTCTCCTGGGGGACACACCTGGCCATGTACACGCTATAGTCCAGAAGCATCTTCTGCCGCACACTGCCCACCAGCTCCCTCTGCTTGGGCTGGGACATCATCTCCTCCACGCTGCCTTTGCTGCTACTGCGGCTGTGCGTCAGGTGCCCCGAGGGGCTGCTGTGTCTGCTGTGGGAGGGCAAGACCCCTGCGGCAGAGAGGGCGGCAGTTACTGCAGGTGAAGACGTGACCACAACAGGAAAAGACGCACAACAAACTCCATGGGGCGAAGGTGAGTAACAGCAACCATGGTATCAAGTGATGGATTTAAAAATATTGATTAGGGCCCTCCCTGGTGGCGCAGCAGGTTAAAGCACAGCACTAAGAATCTAAGCCACTTCAGCGTGAGTTCGATCCCCGTCTGCCCCGGGGGTGACCACATGGCGCAGCAGACCTCTCCTGACCCGCCTGCTGCTCCCCTCAGCAGTGTACTTCGTCGATCTGCCTGTTCTGCTCCCCACTCTGTCTCTGGTGAAGCCTCTCACCGTCCCTGCACCTCTGTTCTGTACCCTAGTTCTGTATGCACAAGTAAGTCTTCAAAAAAAAAATTGATTAGGCTGTTTGTTTCTCACTCAGAAAAACTCCTTCTGCTTCAATGACAGATACTGTTTTTAAAGAACAGTTTTTATTCTGCTCCAAGACAATTTAGAGTAATAGGAGCAATAAAATACAGCTGGGAGGTACCGTGGCCGCTCAGGGTCAAACGCGGGACGGACAGCCAAGAGCTGGTGCCGCAGGATGCTACCAGGGGCAAAGAGAAGGCAAGCAGAGAGCTAGCTGCTCGCTCGCAGGCCACGGCGACCCCCAACCGGCATCAACATTCAACACGCTCTTCACCAGCCACTCGCGCTGGGCCAATCCCATGTAATCCTTACCCTTGAACTCAGCACCAAGGCAAATATAATCACGGTTCTCTGTGGCAAGCATGGCAGTGGAAGTGCAATGGAAGGACCTGCAGGCCAGAAAGGAGGTGACCTCTGCCCAAGAAAGTGGAGAGGTTCCCCCAAAGCTGGCTCTTCCGGGAGAGGCCTGTGGCGGCCTGTGGAAAGAGGCAGCATTTCCCTAGGCCAGGGGAGGGAAGCGCATTCCAGGACAAGAGCGAAAGCAGAGGCAGGCACAGGTGCGGGGAACAGGGACTCCAGAGCCTAGCAGGCAGTGCGGGGCAGAGGCGGCGCGCTGGGCAGGAACAGGCCGCAGCAGTCACGCTGACATTCAAAGCTCGCGCAGCACTAGCAGGTCTTGAACATGGGAAGTACCTGGTGCTGATAACTGGCTTTGGTCTCACTCTGAGAGCAAAGTCAGGGAAAAGTGGCTCAAAATCAAGTGGTTTATTTTGGCAAGGCGCGGCCGCCACAGCGCCTCACAGAGTAGCCAGGCCGCTTCCTAAGTTCTGGGCTAGCTCATTCCCAGCACTCTGAATATCTCAGATTTTACACTGCAGGCCTACAGAAATAACTTTTTAGAAGGTAATCGTTCATTATCCACATACCATTTTAATGGTCAGCATTATTTTTAATGGTGGTATAAGAGCTATACCAAAAACATTTAAGAATGGCGGAAAACTAAATGCAACATAGACCTTGGATTAGTTCTTGCAATAAGAGAGCAGACATTAGTGGAATCGAAATAGTCTCAAGTTCAGTTAATAAGTATTAAAAAAATTAAGGATGACCATCAAAAAATGGGCAGTAGAGCTAAAAAGACACTTCTCCAAAGAGGAAATGCAGATGGCCAACAGGCATATGAAAAAATGTTCAACATCACT